TCATATATCTAAAAATAAATTACTTTATTTTGAGAAATCTGTTCAGGTCACAAGTTCTTTTCACATTCATGACCAGAGGGGTATTTCATRAWTTCCTGATTTCCTTCTGCAAGATCTTGCTGGATTACATTTATGAAAAATAGGCTGGTCCTAATTTCACGAAGTAATTCCTACATACACAAATACATTTTCTCTAGTATTGGAGGTGTTGAATATGTAGATATGTGTAATCATAAAACACAAAAACACCCTGTTTTAAGTTATCAAATTTTCACAAACAAATGCTGGCATAGTCTTTCATTTATAATCATGACTTTTCTTCACATATATGTTTCACTTAGAACAATCAGCACATCAAATACAGAAATAAATCCATTTGTTTAACTCGAGGTGTGACAATAACAAAACATCATAACAAGACGAGTCTCTGGGTAGCGTTTACCCCCCATCCCCGGCCGCTTATGTTCTTTTTGTAGTTTAACATCAATATCTACAAATTTCTTTCTTCATATTATAGCTTGCTTATATTTAGAAGCATACTGTGACTGAACTGCTCTGTGATTCAATAAATGATCAAACATGAAGAATAAACAGTTTTAAATTATTACATGATCTCTAAATAATATAATCTTTTTGAAAGAAATAGTTATTTTAATACAGAAATCAGTCAGTCCAACAAATAAAGTGTAGTTAAGTTGTTTTGTGCTGTACAAAAGACATATTTGGTAAATTTTGTAAATGTAAATTTATAGTACATACATACATTATGTGTTTGCACTGAAACGTTATGGAGATGGTTAAATATTTGTATTGACTATCTGACTGAAGTCTTGCCAAAAATGTTTTTTGTATTAAATATATAAAAACACTAAAATGACAAATATAAACTACAGAAAAACTGTTCAAAATCAACGTCTTCCTTACAAATCCATTTGGTCCAAATTGTTCAGGTTAAAGTCTTTGCTTCATTAGAGAAAAACTAATCTGTGTACTTTGACTAAGAACATGGACACAATGGACCTCATGCAAGAACATGTTCGTATTCTTATCCTAAATTTCTCTTACTTTTGTTCGTATGAAGGGTTCGTACGAACATGTCACGTCAGATTCAACAAACTCTTCTATCTTCATGAAAAGGGTGCAAATGAACTGCTTAAATTCCACCNTCGCACTGTGACTGCTGGATATGGGCACCAGTGACCCCTGTGACAGAAGGCACAGCCAGCGTGTACAGAAAATGGATAGATGGATTAATCTGTATATATTTAAAAGAGGAGCAACAGAAGAAACTTAATTTTTTGTTCTCTTGAGATACTACCTTCTCTAGAGAGAAGGCTGGCTGCTGCGACACAGTCACCAGTGTTTTTTAAATTTTTTAACCCTTTTAAAACTCTGCTGCCTACCAGCTGGTCAAAGAATCAAACGTCCAAYGTGACACAAAAAGGATGATTTACATATTGAGTTGAATGAAGAATCTGTCTCTAAAATAGTTATGATAGTGTTTATTTATGTAGTTTAAAATGTGTTTAAAAACCTGCAAATATACCAGAATGCAGGAAACAGCACCTACTTCATTCAAAATCTTCTGGGGGAGAACCCCAGATCCCCCTCCCACATTATGATTATGATGGCAATTAGTAGCAGCAAGGATAAATATAACAGCAGCACTTATGTGAAAGAAATAATAACTGTAAAATCAGAAAGAAAAGGTGGGACTGAGAAGGTGAGGAGTATAATTTGATAATCCAGGTGTCATCCAGAAGCAATTTAAAAAAAAAACAGATTTTGGAGGCTTGCAGATTAAATTTGTTCAGTATGCACACAATTTATTTCTTTAATCAAAAGCACAATAAACTACAATGATTTGTTCTTTTCCTGATTTCATTTTAACTTTGCCTATTTTATTAATTTACATTTTATTCTAGTCATTTTATCTAWTATTTATTTTTATGTACAGCATTTCCCCAGGCTCCTATAAACAATAAAACGTGCAGTTTGTTGAATACAGAGCACATTGTGAGCTGAGCAGGATGTAAATTTGAGCCTCTCTAGAATGTAACTTGGGTGTGTACGATAATTTTCCTCAAAAGACGATAATTTTGAGCTGCTGATACAATAATTCAACATTTCCCATCCGGCAACACCGGTGTAGTTTAGTCTTTTAGAGGGGTCTCTGCGGACGAGTGGGCGTGTCACAATGAAAGGCGATTCTAAAGCCACACATGATTTGACGGACTTTGTTGAAAAGGACACACCTGACTGGATAAGCAAAAAAGGGGCGATACCGTACGGCACCACCTGATTGGACAACAACAAAAGAGGCGTTACTGTACGGCACCACTTTTTCTGGAGAACCCTACTTGGGTCACATTTCTCCTGGTTAACCTTAGTGTTGGGGTCAGGGTCAGGCTGTAAAGAGGTCAAGCAGGGTCTAAGGATACCGTCATGTAGGCTTCGTAGCCCACAGTGTTTATGCTTTTGACACGCCCACTCTTGTGACACGCCCACTTTGATTCAACATATAACCCTTTCTCCCCCTACTTTCTTTTGGCTCATGCGCAAAAGAAGTGACGTACTGATGGTGCTTCTGGAACAGAGCAGAGCGAATATCCAAACTATCTCCACCGAGGAGCAGAAAGTGGAGACAGTGGGTCAGACGGACTGGATGAATCTGTGGAGAAAACATTTCCAAGAAGAACCCGAGCGTTGGAGAGAAAATGAGCGCAGGTTTGTAGTTTTTATTCTTTACGAGACGACGTTAGCTAGCTGTAGCTTTAGGTAGCAAACGGATAACATATCGCCTAATATCGTTATAAACAAGTACTACAAGTACGATTGAGCTAATGTAAAATAAACAACACAAAACTGCTAAAACCTGTCAAAGTGCTGACGCGGGGAGCAGCCATGTTGAAATGTTGACGTCATGCATGCGCAGGCCGCTCGGGTGTGGTCGTGTTGCACCACAAACAACCTGGAATAACAATAATGAAAGATCAGAAAGATGCTCTGAACATTTTCACCAAACTATTGAAAAATCTAAGAAAAAAAAACTGAACCAATGGCTTCAAAGAGATTTATCTCTGAAAGAACTAATACTTCTAACAAAGACCGAACAGGTTCACAAGTTGCTCAACATTCCTCATTTTAATGCAGTGGTAAGACTGCTTTTTAGACTAGAAGTTCTTGTAATTATTAGGACTTTATTCTCTTAATATTATAACCTTATTCTAGTATTGTTAGTTACTATTTTAATATCATAGTACAGCGGGTAAAATAAGTATTGAACACATCACCATTTTTCTCAGTAAATATATTACTAGAGGTGCTA